TTTTCTTCTTTCATTTATTAATTTTTTTCATCTCTTTAAATCTATGTTTGATTAATGGTTATGTTTAGTTTGTACAATGAAGATCGATGCTACTTGAAGTTGTTAGTGGTTGTGTGCAGTAATAGTGATTATTGCTTGGGGTTAAGGTTGAATTTCAATTTTTTCATGAATGTGGGTTATTAAGGTTATGGACATCAAGAAATGGATATAATGATATGTTTGATCTTAGGAGAAGGTCTATTGGTGTCTTTATGGTGCTCTGTACCCAACTGTGATAATCCAATCTAAAACTAGAGCATCACATTAGTCATCAAAATGACCCATGATGAAATCCAAATTAAATAATATCAAATTCAAACAATCTTAAATTAATGCACAGTAGAAACATATGCAAAGTTCATTAAAATGTGACTATTTTATGTTCATAACAAATAAATATAAGTTTCATAAAGTTAGTGTAACAATCTGAATTTTTAAGTCACTATTTAAACGTTAAGTCAATATTCAATTGAATAGATTAACCGTCTTATTGAGGTCTCATGGGTTGAATTTGGGTTTAATTAGAGGATAAATTGTCTTTTGGATATAAAAAAATATTTAAACTTGAGATAAAATGAGGAGGACTTAGAGTGCAATTTACTCATTGGACAAATTTATGGCAGACACTAGGAGATATCATGTTGATTTGGTGTAGCCTCTTTCTTTAAGAAATAAGGTAGATCATTTTTTTCTTTCTCTTCCCCCTGCTCTACCACAACTCCGTCTTTATCTTCATATCTCTTTCTCTACCAAAATAATAAGCTAGAGCAAGTTAAAGGTCCCATCTTTCTCAGATCCTTTTTAATCTAAATTCATCAAGATAGGAGGCGTGATCTTCAAAATAAGCTCAGTATCTTCTTCAATTGTGTTCTTAAGCTCATGAAGATATTAGGAGGGTTTAAGCTCCTATAACTTCCTTCAATGATTTCTAAATGATTTTCCTGAAATATAGTTGTTGTTAAGCAAATTGTCGATGTTAGAATAATTTTAAAGGCTTGGATTATTGGAAGAGTTATATAAGACCCCTAAGGGGAAGGGTAAGGAGGATTTAGTTCTAGGATGAGACGGAGAGATTTCGGGTTGCTTGAAAGTAGGTTACACCTTATAATTGTTCCCTACAACTTATATGTCATTTATATTTCATTTGGTTGTTTGTATGAGGTGGTAAAGCATGTTAGGGGTGACTTGAATGTTTTGGATTCATGTCATGCATTTAGATGATAAATTTGTGTAAAAATAATGTTAAATGACCCCTAATGACTTTCACGAGCTTTAAGAATCATCTTAAGGCTAATGTTAGTGTTTGGAATGAATTTGGTGGGGGTGATTTTTTAGTGACATATGATATCTCAAGGTTTGAGTATCGATACCAGATAAATTGATATCTATTCAGATTTGATATTCAAAGAAATCAACCGAAATTATTGTCAAGATGGGGTGAATTGGTTTTTTGAAAATTTTGGGAATTAAGGACAAAATATAAGAAAAATTGCACAATGATATATATTGGATAAAGAAAGTTAAAAATAAAACCTCCAAAAGGTAGGTGTTTACAAATTAAGCTCACAAAAATACTATATGTAAAACAAAAAAGGAAAAAAAAGATTGAAAAGGTTTTTCTCTTGATGTGGATTGCTTTGGATAGGTATTGTAACCTTCTTCAAGTGTCCTCAACTTGATTTTATATCTTGGAATGAGTTACTAGCCATTGGGGATGTTTTGAAGTCGTTGGAAGCCTTAATTTTGAGCATTAAATGCTCATATGCAACTTTGGTATCGATATCGAGGAGTTGGTATCGAGACTGAGCATGAAAACATTCAAAATTATAGTCGTTGAAGCCTCAATATCGATATTATTTGAAGCAGTATCGATACTAACCTTCCATTATCGATACCACACCATGGTACTGATACCAGAAAAGCCTTACGGAATTTTGGTTTCAAGACTGGAAATAATTTTTAGCTAATTTGAAGTTTTTTGAGCTTTAAAACAATATTTAAAATAAACATATTTTTCAAATTACTTTGGACTTTGAATTATTTTTGAATCATTTGAGCAAATTCAATTAAGTCCAAAAACATTTTGCCCTTATTTGTTATATCAAAATATAGGTTCAACAATATCGAAATTGACTTTTGTAGGGAAAAATCTAGGTATTTGCAATGGGGGTATCGATAGTTTATTCATAGGGTATGGATATATTCGTTTGGTATCAAGGCTAATATCGGTATTGATATTATGGGGATCGATACTAACGAGTTGGTATCGATACCATATATCAATATCGATATCATTAATGAATCTTGGTCAATAGACGTTCAATTGTTGAATAAGGTTTGAGGTTTAGGAGTCTAATGACGATAGTGATCGATTAATAAGCTTAAAAGTAGAAACTTGTTAATGAAACTTGATAATATATAAAGAATAATAATATTTGAATCGTAAGCATAAGATCATTATGATGAGAGATTTCATGAAACTTTTATCTTTATTTGACACTCGACAAACAAGGAGGACACCCAAATTACGTACGTAGAACGATCGTCTCTTATATTGGTGGGTTACCCAAATATCCCAAGAGTAGAGCTTTGGCAGTTAAAGTTTGCTAGTCAGATGTTAATTTAACGCTCTTATGACCTAGACTTATTCGTATACTTTAGAAAAGTAGATTAATCATATGTACATTCTTGATACATGTGTGATCCAAGTCTCACTTGAGGTACTTGCCCAACGAGGGATAGTTGGATGTACTTTACTAATGTGAGAGTGACTCGAATCACATCCAAAGTATATATGTTAGTAAGGTATAGGAGTGTGAGCATCATATGTTACAATGACTCCAAACTATATTGTGATGTCTGCTTGTGTGTTTATGGATGTGTCTTCGAGCTACGTGACACTGATTCGCATCCTTGCTGATTATATGTGTTGTGGTTATGTACTAAGTAGTTGGTATTGTTTCTCCAAGTATACTTGTTGGCATGCTTATGTTATGAATGCATGAAGTATAATAGAGTTATTTGTGTGACACTAAACTCGTTAGTTCAACGTCCGAAATATATTTTTGTTCATTTGTACCCAAGAGCAATTCGAGGAGTACCATTGCCGAGCTAGATTTCTAGCTGTTGATCTTGTAGAATACATCTCCAATTTATGTGAATATATCATGGACCTTATGTTGTATTCCAATCATAACTCTATTTTGTAAACTTATAATTAATATTCGGCTTAGATTATTTTGGAGCTATTTTGTAAGTTTAAATTATACTTTTTTTTTTAATTTTAATGGTTATGCCTGATAAAATAATTTCAAAAAGGTATGATAAATCACTTTGATGGTTTTGTGTAGGGATGAGCATGAGACCCGAATCCAACAGGTTTCGACCCGACCCGATTGGGACATGTTTTTTTAAAAAAAATTGGGTTCGGGCCGGGTCGGGTTTTTTAATGTGATGTTCGGGTTGGGTCGGGTTCGGGTTTAGAGTGAAAAATATCCTACTTGACCCGAAAAATTATAATTTTACCTTATATATTTTGGAATAATTACAGTAATACCTCTCTATATATTTTTTTTTCAATTAAGTCACTGGTTTTATTGAATAAAAATAATATTTTTTATTATTTCAGGTCGGGTCAAGTCTCGGGTGGAGGATTCCTTGTTTTGGGTCGGGTGGACCAAAAACCCGACCCATGTCCATCCCTAGTTTTGTGTAACACTCGAATTCATTAGATTTTAATCAAGTCAGATTAGAAATATATAGTTAGGCATGAATAAACATACAAAAACCAAGCCAAAATAACTATTTTTGGGGTCGTGGAACGACAAACTCAAAACTTGTAGAATCATAAATCACTCTAATTTATAATGTCCATCATCCATTAAACGTGGAATGAAGATATACAATTCACTTCTTGTTTCTCCTTTTTATCATTGGGAATTGAATGAAGATACTTCATCATCAAGAAATCAAAGTGCATTCAAAATCAAGAGGTTTTCTCTCACACAAAAGTAATACAATTTTATCACCATTTTATAATGCTTATATAACAAATAAATATCTAAAGTATATTATCTTTTTTATTTGAGTACTTAAAGCATTTGTGGTCAAAATAAGTATTTAAAGTTGTTTTTTGGTCAAAATAGGTACCTAAAATATTTTTTGGTCAAAATAGGTACTTAAAGTATTTAATTTTTTTCCATCCAAGTACCTAAAATATTATTTAATTAATGCTACATGTCAACTTTTTAGAATTCAGATGAGATTTTTTTAATAGTTTAGGTACCTATATTGACATAAAATACTTTAGGTACCTATTTTAACTAAAACGATAATTTTAGGTTTTTATTTTGATCAAAAAATATTTTAAGTACCTAAATGAAAAATAGAGTATACTTTAGGTACTTATTTGTGATATAAGACTTTCATAATTTTTAAAAGAAAAATGTTCAATCAAAATAAAATTAAATATTTAAGGGTGGAGTGATCAAAATTGGAGTGAAAATTTAATGAGTAAATTAAAAATTTTAAACCTTAATGATAAAAAAAAAAGTGAAAAACGTTGAGTAATGAAATTTGTAGTTTACCATAAAAAAATTCTGATTGTAATTCTAACATTTTTTATTGGATGGGGCTGGATCCAACGGTCTAGATAATCCGATGACCACACACATGGGTACCGGCTCCAGTGTACATACGCCCGAGTGAAATTGACGCTCATTCTTTCTATTATTCTCTTCACTAATTTAAATAAGAACCGCTTCTTCTCCCAAAATTCAAAAAAAATCACTTTTCCTTTATTTATTTCCCTGTGTCCTTCAGTCGTCTTGCTTTTCAATCCTCCATCTTTATTCATTTTCGGGCTTATTTTTGAAAAGTCTAATTTGATTTTGGTCTTCTTTTGGGTGCGAAAGTTGAAGATTAATCTTATTTTGCAATTTTTTTGTCTTTTGTATTGTACAGAGAAGGGAAGTGAAACCAAAACTGTTAGGTTTGCTATGGATCCCGAGAGCTTTGAAATCTCATCAGTCTCCCATGAATACCATGAAGAAGCTGGAAAGGCAAAGGAACCATTGGAGTATTCAGAACAAAACAAGACAAGTAATAATGGAAAATATAATTTACGCAAAAGTTTAGCATGGGATAATGCTTTCTTTACTAGTGAAGGTACACATTCGTTGATTTTTCTTGCATTTGACCATTTATTATTCTAAATTTCTGGTTTTTGATAATGTTTCGTACTCTATAATTTAGGATTTCTGGAGCCGGAGGAGTTGTCTAGCATGCTGGGAGGCAATGAGAAAGGTCAAATACAAACATTGCCTGGGATTCAAGAGGATGTAAACAAATCTTATGATTCATTAACAACATTGGATTCTGAAACTTTGGCATTGGAAAGTCTTGAGGCTGATTTGTTTGAGGATGTAAGAGCTTCAATCCAGAAATCTAACAAAGTTCCTGTCACTGTGAATTTGGCAGCAAGGAGTTGAAAACAACAGAAAGTAAAATTGTGTCATGTAAGTATGGTTTGTTTCCCTTTTGTCTCTGCATTGTGTTATCTTGATGCACCCAATCTCGAGTCTAGAGCTCAACTTCACATTCTAGACGTGTGTTCACGGAAAAAAATATTCTCAAACTGATAATGTCATGTTCTCTGTTTATTCGCAGCTTCAAGAAAAGTAGAACATACTACTCAGGATAAGGTACACTCGAGAAATGTCCGCTGCAGTAAATTTCATTTCTAATTAGTTGTTGTATTTCTTTCCAAAAACATCCTTTTTTCCAAAAAAAAATAAATCAGATGAAGCAGAAAGCTACTCTAAAGAAGCTTAATGTTGGTGTAAAAGACTCAGGGAAAAAATTGAAGCCTAATGTTGTGACTCCACAAATTTTGCAGGCATGTATTGTGCTACCGCTAACATCATGCAAACGAACTGTTAGTTCTATCATCTTTTCTAGTTGAGATAAAGATCAACAAGATAGGGTGTTGAAAGTTTTAAAGTTCTAAATCTAAATCTTTAGGTAAATTAACTGGCTTGTTTGTGTTATACAGCTTCATAGAAAACAATGCTATAAGCTTGTAAATATTCACTACCGCTAAACATGCATCCATATAACTGCTATTTACTACCACTGAAGACTGTTTCTTTTTTTCCTTTTTTTTTTTTTTTTTTTGCTTATATAAACATATAGACGGTAAAATCTGTTGCAAGAAGCGGGGAATCAACTTCATATCTTCATAACCCACCAAAGGTTTTAAGCAGTGTTGGTCCTTCACCAAAAAGGGTTTCCTTGGGTGCTAAGAATGTCAGAATGGAAAAGGATACAAAAACTGTAACTGGTAATTCAAACTACTATTATATAAATTAACTTCATCAAAATACAGGATGTTTTCTTGCTAACTTTTTCTGCTTAATTCATTCTCCAATTAATTTTAACGGCTGCAGGTAGAGGAACTACAGTATTAAAAACTCCTTTGGGTGGTGCAAGAAACACTGTGCCTAGGTCTAAGCCATCTTCGAAATCTTCTTCTTGCTCCCCAGCCTGGAGCAAAACGGAGCTGAATTCTTCTTGTTCCTCACTTGAAAGTTGCGCCAGTATTTCGTCTAACAGAACTTATTTATCTTCCTTTAATTTGATTAAGCATAAAAATGGCTCCAGAATTGTACCAAGAAGTAAAATTCAAGCAGGAAGTTCAAAGCTCCCAACTATTTTGAAGTCTTCTACCAAGATCTCTTCCAGTATATCTCCTGCAAGCTCTATCAGTGAATGGTCCTCAGAGTCATCATCTATATCTTCTTCTAATCAAAGTTCTAACGTTGCAAGAACTAGCCTTAGCTCTGGCTCCCGCAAGGGACCTGCTATAAATCGTGACACACACACACAGAACCATCCTACAGGTAAGTGCTCACGTGGAGATGGCACTGAGGTTACTGGCTCGCTTAATGAAAGTGAAAACAAAGTTTCAGCTAGAACTAGTAAACTTCTTCATCCAGCTTCAGTGAAACCCTCCGGCCTCCGTATGCCATCACCAAAACTTGGCTTCTTTGATGGGGTTAGTTCTTATTTCTTTAAGTTTCTCTAGTCTTATACCATATCAGAAGTGGTTTCTACTTGAATTGTTTCAAGAACAAGCAGACTTTCCATATCAGAGTCTTGATCTTCTGCACAAAAGAGTATAGCTAGTTTATGCCTATTTCAAGCTCTAGCCTGCTTTGTTGGTCAGACTGTTTGACCAGTTTGAAATTTTGATAAATGCAGGTACGATCATCGGGACGCACTCCAAATGGGAGTATGCTGTCTCATCCTGGTGTACCTAGTGGCTTGCCTAAAATTGGAGCAAAAAACACTAGTCCAAGTGGAATCTCAAACAAGGCAAAGATTGGAAAGCTTCAACCTGTTAGAACGCTTACTGTAATCCAAAGCCCCAAGGTTGATGTTAAGCAAATTTCCTCTGCTATAAATTTGAGATCTTCCTTATCTATTCGAAAATGTCCAATTGCTGCAACATTGGCACCAAGTTCTTCAAGAAACCTCAAAACCAGCACTAGCATATCTCCAAAACTTCAGAATAAATCCTCTCCCAGAAATGGTATTGGTTCGGCCGAAAAAGTAGCAAGCCAGGGAAGCGAGGATGGTGCAGACACAAAGGATATCAAGATTGCTCCTGTCAATGGAGAACTTGAAATAACTTCTAATGTAGTTTCCAAGTCCGATGTTAAAAACACAATAGCATCAAAAGAAGCAGCTAAAAATGACACGCACAACAATACATACCTCAATACTAAAACAGTTTTCTTTTATGACGCCAACAAGGAAGAAGCTCCCGCCGAAGACGAAATCGACGTTGTTAAGAAAGAACCTATTGCTAAGTTTGAGAACAGTTTGTCAAATCCCTATCCAACCTCTCCATCCCCAATGACTTCTGAAGTTACTTGTGGCCCAAGGATACCTTTCTCAGTCAGGGATTCTTTTTACAATACGGATGCATCACATGATGTATTATCAGGATTAGCAGCAACCGAGAAGACAACCCCATTACCATGTCTGGAAAGCATCTTTCCTGAGAATAATATCTAAGCGCAGCACAACAATCTAGTTTCAGATTCTTTCAAGGTACCTTGGTATGTGCCTTTTCCAATGATTCTTATTTGGAACTTTTTTTTATACAAGTCTTGTAGATTTGGTGATAAACTTTGGTAATTCAGTAGAATTGGTTCCAATGTTCAAATTTCACCATGTTCCGATATGATATTTATCATGGAGATATGGCGGTCCCGGATTCAAATTTCACCAAGTTCGAATTTATCATGTAGGTAGTGTCTTATGAGGCGAGTTTCATAGTTTTCTAGGGCTGAACTTGAAGTGCCCAATTTATATTGTCCCAAACAAATCTTCATGAATTATGTCTGAAAATTTGCTAGTAATGGAATTTTACCTAACCCGATTTTTGAGAGAAAATCCAAATCCGATCCGACCTGACCCAAAATAATAAAAAATATTATTTTTATTTAATAAAAACATTGATTTAATTGAAAAAAATAATATATAAAGGGGTATTATTGTAATTGTTATTAAATATATAAGGTAAAATTATATTTTTTTCTAGATCAAGTCTGATATTTTTCACCTTAAATCCGAATTCGACATGGCCAGAACAAAAAACTGACCCGATCGGGTTTGATTCAGAACCCGTCAGGTTAGAGTCCATGCCTATACCTAACCTCAACATACAAGACACCCACCATATCCCACAAAACTCTCAACAATTTTAACCCATTATGAATCCTCAAAATATTGGTAAATCCCATGATATACGGGAATATTAGGAGTTTAAAAACAGAAAAAAGGTTAGCCATGGATGATAAAAAAGGGGATCAGCTACATGAGAGGAGGGAGGCTAGGGAGAGAAAAGTGTTAAAACAGAGGGAAAGAAATGAAGATAGAATCGGAGGCTATGGTCGCTCGGCCATAGCTCCAACATCGCGCCCCGGAGTTCACCACGGTAGTCATGCCCCCTTGACTATCTGAAAACTCTCACGTAAACCCAAATTAACATCTCCATGAGCCAACAACATCCATCGACTTCTAAACCATTGCTCAATAACCCGCTCTTAACACCATCTCCCGACCAATGGCTTTCAGCCATGGTACCCAAACACCAATCCTCAACCGTGCCTTACTACCTCAAATCCTTCACGACAACAATGAAGTTGGATCCTAAAACACCCAACTCGACCATTGCGAAAACATAGAACCCAAATACGTTCAAATCCTAAACCTGCAAAACTAGAAGTGAAAATTTGAAGAAATGAACAATGTTTCTTATGGCAGCATCGAAACAAACCATTTTGCCTTTGGAGATCCTCAACTACGAGCACCAGGATGAATGCATTTGTTTTAGTAATTTATGGGTAAATTCACTTACAGTCCTTCTTCTTTATGCGTAATTCGTTTGAGCCATAATTTGCATGCCTTTTGTCGTTTTGACCATTTATTTTCTGTTTCCTTTAATTTGATCCTTGAATCAGAATGTGTTAATTAATTTGACATTAATTTCATGATTAGTTTTAATTAGATCCTAACCGAGATTAATTGATTATTTTAGCTTAAATTATTAATTAGGTTCAATTTGATCCTTAACTAATATTTGGCCTAAATTTATCGATTAATTTAATTTGCTTCCTAATCTATAACTATGTAATAAATTTGACTTTAATTTCTTAATTGATTTTGAATGTGCTCATAATTTGAAAGTTGATTAATGAATCTTGGCCTAATTTTATATTAATTCAATTTAATCCATAATGTGAAGATGGTTATTAAATATGGCTAAAAATTCTTAATTAGTTTCAAGTTAGACCTTAACTCGAAATTGATTAAAGGTTATTTTTGTTTCTTTGTTAGTCATCTATTATTATTTCATGATTAGTTTTAATTAGATCCTAACCGATGAGGTGATTTTATGTCTAGTCATCTATTATTATTTTTATATCTGACTACCAATGAGGTGATCTTCTTCGTGGCAACGTTTTCTAAAGTTGCATTACATGAAATTTGTTTGTCTTTTTTAAAAAATAATGACAATGTTATTTTGTTATATCGGTTAAAAAAGATAGTGTCTTAAACAGTTGGATTACGACATTTTTAGTTATATGTAACAAAGTGACATCCTCTTCAAATGAAGTGGGTCTCCTTTTCGAATGGGTGTAAATATAAATTGTTGCTTCCAAACGAGGTCCACTATATTTGCCATGAATATTTTCGAACCACTCAAAAATAGTTTTTACAGGTTTAAAATAAATAAAACTAAATAAGCTATGTTTAAGTTTGATTATAAGTTTGGGCATTAAAAGGTTCTTCTATTGCGTTGCGACCAGGGGCAACAGATAGTCTGAATTTTAATATTTACATATGTTTAAAGTATTCAAAGCGAAGTAAATATTAAACATTATTTTTTAATAATTTAATTTTTTTTGAGACAAAATCAAGTGTATAATATAATTTAATAATTATTTATATTTGTTAATAAATATTGTATAAAAATTATAATTTTCTAAATATAATTTCTTTTGTTATTATATAACTTTTCACCTAAACATGAGGTTCCAGAAAAGGTATAATATAATTAAAATATGAATTGGGATAATAGTGAGACAGAAATTGATATAATAATCAATGCAAACATGCATCCCTAAGCATAATCAATTCTAAATAAAAAGGGACTGAAACCACAGCACAAAAGTCAGAATTCATCCCTCATTCGAATACCAAAATGCAAATGCTTGAGGAAACATTGTAAGTTTGGAACAACATTAAAGCAAAAATTCAAACCAGGCTATTAAACATTGCTAGTAAAAATGCCAATCCTTCGTAATTAGGTCCTCCCCGTACCCATCTTAAGATCTAGGCTTCTCTTTCTTCTCTTTGAAGAGCGCCAAGAGCGAAACACCGGAGACCTTCACAACCTTGAAACGAACACCAGGGATATCACCAACAGCATGGCCCTTTCGTCCGAATCCAGCAATCAACACCTCATCCTACACCAAATACACCATGGTCGTAACAAGGAAATCCCAAATATGCTTAAACAATAAACAATATCATATGTTTTCACTCATGTACTAACATTCTCTTCGATGTAGTTTAAGCAACCGTCGTTTGGAACGAATGCGGCAATCTTTTTTCCATTCTTGATCAGTTGAACTCTGGCACACTTTCGGATAGCAGAGTTCGGCTGCTTAGCTTCGATACCACTGCAAGATACAAATGCATTGGTCAAAACATTCAATTATGAAGAGTTAATGAAAGCAAGAGCACCAAAAAGGAAAAGAGGATCTACTGATCTCGTCTTACATCTTCTCAAGGACAATGCCTTTGGCATGGGAAGAGCCAGCAAATGGCTTCTTCCATTCATTTCCAAGGTTGGATTTTTTGTATGCCTTATCAGCCCACCTCTGCCTCCTACGGTGGGTCCTCAGCTTGCGTCCGGCTCCCATACCACGTGTCTTCCTGAAAGAAATAATGTCAATGCCTTGAACCAAGTCCTCAAACAATGTTGCCTGGCCCTGGACTAGGGCAATTACTTCATAATATGGGTATCCCATGCCCAAACTCACCAAGTTCAAATTGACATGAAACTCAATCCAATTAATCATATCTGGATAATGTAGATCAAACATCATAAAATCCAAAACTAAAAGGGTTTTTCTTTAAAATCTAATAAATTATTAGAGATGGAGAGTAATTCGAAACAAGACTTATTATGGCGTAATTCTCCACAATAACTACCAGAATCCAAATTAGATAAACTAATATTGAATATCATGCCATCATAAATCCCAGTCGTATTTCAGTTCAATAAGAAAAAACCCAGAGCAAAAAATGATTAAAACTAAACTTCCATTACATCTAGAACCAAAAGCAGGAACAATACAACCAAAGCTATATGAAAAAACGCTAAACAGAGAAAAATGAAACATACCCCATGTTGGCTGAGCGGTTCTTTTCAGTGGAAGGAGGGTTCAAATAGACCGGCGGAGAAAACAGGAAGAAACCACAGCAGCCGAGCTTAAACCTTCAAGGCTCTAACCCTAGCAAGGAATCATATATATATATATATATATATATATATATATATATATATATATATATAGGCAATAGCATTATGACTACTTTTGGTGGGCTTTGGAGTTTGTGCCCCAAATAATATCCTTTTAGCAGTCTCTTTAGGCTGTTTGCTCCGAGTCCAAACACTTGCCTCAGGTTCAAAAACTTTGGTTCCGACTTTTATATGCCTATTGGGTCGGGTCTTATCAAAACTCCATTGTTTTTATTTTTTATTAAAATTTTAAAAACAGTAAATTGGTCATTAGCATTATTAAATTGTAACAAAATGATCATTAACATTAACGATTTCAAATAAAATGATCAGTCCACTATTATTTTCGTTAAATTGAAGATATGACCATGTTAAAAAAATGTTAATATTTAATTTTGCCCCTAAAATACTGCTAAAAAATCAAATAGGTCCTTGAACAATTATTTTATATCTAAGAAAATTTTAATTTAAAAATAGGCTCAAACGACTGTTGACAAGGGATTCTTTGAGAAGGGATAGGAGACCAGAGATGTTGTTATGAACGTAAGGGTGCATTTGGTTCGGGGTATGTGAGATTATCAGGAGAATATTTTTTCCCAGAATGTGATTCCCCCATTTGGATTGCAAAGATTCCCAACCCTTGGTAACAAGTCATTCCCTGTAATAGCATTTTGGGGGCTTATTACCGGAAATGTAATTCCCCCACTCCCTTAAGTATTGTTACATTCCCGGCGTTTTGGATTAAAATGCCCTTAAAATAATATTTTCCTCAAAAAATCATTCTTCTGTCATTGAATAAAAAATATTGTATCAAGGTTAAATTGCAAATTTATCCTTAAACTATTTTAGATTTACAAAAAAGTCCATAATCAGAATTTTATATGAAGTTCAGGGGTTAAAATAAAATTAAATCATTTCATTAAACCTATTTATCTTTTAAATTTTGTAAAATATATATATATATATATAAATTTTATGAATTTAATTTTTTTAAGAAAATATATAAATTAATTATAGTAAAATTATATATTTTCACTGATCTTACATTCCAATATTTTCATTTAAATATTTAGAATTTAACTTGTTAAAAAACAAATATATAATAAGGACGATTTGCTAAAATATACATTCCAATAATATTTTATTTCTTTAACCAAACACTGTAATCTTACATTCCTGCTAAATGAACCAAACACAGCAATGCAACATTCTCAGTAATGTGTTAGATAATGTTATATTCCGATAATCCTATTCCGGAGGTAACGCTTCATTCCATGAACCAAACGAATCCTAAGAGTAGAGATTTCGACCTTACTTGGATTTGAGCCGCCAAATGCATTAATTCAATATAAAAGTCAAGCTTTGCTGTTTTGCTTTTACTGTCGAAGATGAAAGCCAAGCAAGCCTTCCCTGTATGCCAGAATTATTTCAATATAAGAACAAAATCCAAGGTTTAGTTGAGTTAATTGAACAAAATCCAACTTACATCTTATTACACGTATGAATCCAAGCAAAAAAAAAAGGGATAAATTCAAAGTTTACTTTGAAAACTTTTGAAATCACAAGTCCCTGTCAAAGTAACATTTATAGTTAAATGTATCAATTGACTGAAGTAAACCTTGGATTTTATTCTTATATTGAAATAATGCAGGCATACAAGGATGGGTTGCTTGGCTTTCATCTTCGACACTAAAAGCAAAGCATCGCCAGAAAGGGACAACCTTCAGCCTTCTTTGAAAATGGAGTTCAATATTTCCTGAAATGCTAAATGTTTGTGTACATGAAATTAAATTAGATATAAAATTATTGTTTAAAGACTTATTTCATGTTTTAGCATTAGCTTAGGGGTAAAATTAAATTTTAACTTTTTTTTTGTTAACGTTGTCACATAATCAATTTAGCAGATATAACGGAGGGCTAACCATTTTGTTACGATTAGATAACGTTATTGACTATTTTGTTACAAATCGATAACGTGAGAGGTCGATTTGTTAAAGATAAATTTGACTATATATAAAAGGAAGGATGATAATTATAGTTTAATTTAATTATTTAATAATTATTTTTTATTTTTATTTTAGAAAATTAGATACCACGTACATTTTTACTATTTTAATTTTAAATTCAAGTTTTCATTTATATCAATTAAACATATTTTCTAATTTTCAAAAAAAAATTGAAAATGAAAACTATTTTCTGAAAATAAATACTGAAAATGAAAATAGAAAATATTTTCTATAATCAAACAGACTCTAAGTGTTATTATATATTGACTTTTATAATAGAACATTTGGAATGGGCTTAATTATAAAATAAGTGTCCAAACTATATCACTTTTTCTAAATAGGTGCCTATTTTTTTTAATCATTTAAGTGTCTAACATTACAAACATTACCACTTTAAGTGCTCGAGCCGTAACAACCGTTAAATTCCACCGTTAAGAAACGCCTGTCATGTTCTAGTAATTCTAAAAATTTTATTTAAAATAAAAATAAAATTATATATTTTAAGAAAAAAAAAATTTCAAAAAACTCAAAACTTCAATTTCAATCCTTAAACCCTACTACAAGCGAAACCTGACATAAACGTCGCGTATTCGACAAAGAAAGAGACATCATTTGATCCGGATAATCTTATTCTTAAAAACACAAGTAAAATTGATATATATATATATATATATATAATTCGATCCGGATATATAAGTAAAATTGACAACTTAAATTAATAAGAAAAAATTAAAAGATGTTAACTAAAATACAAAGATATAATTTCAATCATCTATTTTTAATTAATCAAAAATTCTAAAAATGTATAGATAGATATAGATATATATAAAATTATACAAAACTGAACTCGAATTACCTCTCATATAAATTATTTTCAGTTCGACTAAATTAAATACAAGTATATCTCGATCAAATTAAAATCAATTTTGATCATGATTTATTTCAATTTGGTTTGAATTACTCTCAATTTCTTAATTAAATAATTCGATCTGGATAATCTTGTTCTTAGACATATGATATTATAGTAAAATTCACAATTGAAATTAATAATAAAAAAATAAAAATATAATCTTAATCATTTATTTATTAATTAAAAATAAAAATCCTAATAATGTATAGAACTAAAAGTCCTACAATATAAATATATATAGACATTTTTAATTAAAGAAATTTTAAAAATTTATTTATTAGAAAAATAATTTTAAACAACATTAAATGAAAAAAAAATACTTACTAGACTGTTACCTCGCATTTTACGAAACTTGTTTTGAGAACCTCGCATTTTATCATATATGATATCCATAAAATTTTCAGATAAAGTCATTTGATTTTTGAATAAATGACACAATAAATACATAAAATTCAGATAAAATCATTTAACTTTTGGAAAAAGGACACAATAGAACATAAAATTCTCTTCGCAAGGTTTGGGGGTATATTTAAAAAAACTGATTGGGGTTATTTTTTAAAAAAAATGCTAAATGATGGTTATTTTTCCAATAGAAAGGGGTTCTTCATTTAATAACGCTGTATATGTATATGTATATAATTATAAAACTATAAAATTATAGGTGCATAAATATAGATAATGGATGGAAATCGTGAGACTGAAAACATAAAAGCAAATACATAAATTTGCGAAATGCAGTCGCGGGATTGTGAAAAATTGCTTGGACATAATGAATTCAAAGAGAGCCCATGAAAAAAAAATATTTCTTATGTAGAGGGAGACAGGATTCAAACCCATATAGGACGTCCATGCAGAGCCACCATACCAATATTAAAACTAGAACTGAATCCAGGCATTGTCAGGGTAAAGGACTAATTTAGAAATACTTTCCGCCTTCTTTGGGTGCTAAAACTCAAAATTTAGAGGCCAACTATGTTACGCATTTAGCTCAAAAGGTTGGAACTTGAGACAATGTGCACACATTACAGTCAACAAGTTTTACTTCTCTCACAAAACAATTATAAACTAAAATTCAGACCATCATATAAGAGCTACTAGTTTCCCAAATAGGTCTGAAACTATTGGGTCAAAAGAATGACATCAACAAAACTACCTTCTCTCTCTTATTTCTCGCTCTGAAGGTATTGCACGAAGTGAATATACCCTGGATAAGGGTTAACAGCTCTAAAACTCTATTCCCCTCAAAATGCAGAGCCACTGCCACCCTTGTTTTTCCTCAGCATCATATCTTTCGCCTCATTAATCTTTGATGCAAGGAAATGACTTCCACCGGCATCGGGATGATTTGCAACCATCACCCTCCTATGTGCTTCCTTGATCTTTTCCGCTGAAGTACTTTCTCTGATGGAACACAACATATAAAAATAAGCATTTTCATGCACAGCTCATAAAAGAGCATGGTTGTAAAAAAATCACTAGTGCAATATCATAAGAAAAGTAAATATATTCAAAGAACACTAAATGCCATAATAACCAATGGGAAAAGTAGGAGGTAAAAAAGCCTTTGGCCATTGGATGATTGAAAGAAACAAAACAAGAACCCCAATCTTAAATTAGACTCAGCTCTACAGCAACAATCCTGAGTGATCAATATTCATTCCTCAAAACTAGCATTAATCAAATAGAACTTACACTTATTTTCTCTGTCATTACATTATCCTATACGAACGTCATTTATTTGCAGAATAACCACAAAATAAAACAAACCCATTTCATTAAAATCAATTTTAATGATTGAAAATTTGATGACGAAACGAAGAAGATTTGATTATGCAAAAAAGGGGCTATCTCGTCAATGATTAACAATCATTATCGGATGATTGAAAATATAGAAATAACAAACTTGAACCCAAATATTGGATCAATTAACCGCAACTTGATTAACAACCATCTCTTGGAACTAACATTAATCAGACAAATAAATTCCTTAATTTGCCGGATAACCACAATATCTTATTAAAATCAACTTTCAACATCAACAATTTCATAACATAAAGCAGAAATTTTGACACAGAAAAGGAGTTATCTCGTTATCTGAAAGAGAAAAGAAGAGAAAGATATTGATGTTACCTAACGCCCAGAATCAAAGCGGCTTCTCTCCTCGTCATACTAGGCTGAAAGCCACCTTCATAAAATCTTCGAACCCTAGCCGTCGGCGGCCTTCCCTTAAACGCCTGCCATGCCCGAATGCTATATCTCCCCGCATAAGCAGCAGCTGCCACCGCGATTCCTGCTATCAAAGGAGCAACCTAACATAAAAATACCCCAAATTCTTTGAAGTAAATTTAACTATTAAATCCCTATAATTTTCGATATAGATGAACACGATTGGAAAGAAATTGAATCAATTTAAGGGACTCACCATTTCTGACGTATCTGAGATACCTGTGGACTGTTGCATTCCGTTCCCAGAGATGCTAGGTTTTAGGGTTTGTGTAATGAGAAAATTCCTTTTTTTTTTATATAACAAAATATTTTAAAAATTTTAAGATTTTATTTTGTTTCCTTTAAAAAAATTCTCTTTTAAAATTACTCCCCTTACTTTAATATTTTTTCCTTTTTTGTTAAATTAAAAAGACTCTTATAAACAAGATAGTCAATAAATATATATATATATAGCTGTGAAGATCAAGAAATTCAAGAGAGGTTAGCCAACATTATCAATATTTAATATGTATTTGGGTATGGTCATAATTGTATTATGATGCAAAATGATGAAAAAGAAATGCAAAATCAAATCAACATTCAATCAAATTCAAAAAATAAATAACCAAATTCATAATATATCAAAATGTTTAAACAATGTTCAAGGTTCAAAAACAGAAATCAACCTAAGAATCACTAGCAAAGTAGGGAGTTCATTCATCCGTAGGAGGGTCGGGATTGGATTGATGTGCTATAAAGGAAGCAACATCTCGAGTGAGTGCATCGAGCCTATCATTCATTGCTTTGTATTTAGCTCAAGTTTCCCGTTAATTTTCTAACAATATAACGGTAAGATAGGACTCCATGGATGCAAACCGTAAATCCAATGTCTCCATTAGCGTTTGAAAATATGGAGGCATTGCACTACCTTGACTAGGAGGCTCATCGTCGGGTACTTGGTTTACAGGATCATCGACATCCTGTAAAACGTCGTCGAGTTCATGAACCAGAGCCGGAGCCGGAGCTGCTCGTAAAGAACTTGCACCGGGAGTCTTCTTGGTTGAACGAACCCAGTTTTCATTGTCTCATTTCTATCCCGATTTTTGTACTGAGGTAAAGTCTATTTGAGTACTAAGAGGGATGACTACATTGAGGTCAACCCTAAGACCGACCTTAATGAACATGCTACTTAGTAGACAACCGTAGACTAAGGATTCAACTCATTTAGAGGGTACATTGTTAACGGTTTCTACTAACTCTCCAAAGATAATTTGAGGGAGATTTATTCTTTTATTGTTTTGTATACAGTGTATCCACCATATGTATATGCTACGGAAGGAGGAGTATTTACTTCCAGATGGTCTAAACCACCAAGAAATCATTAAGTGCAGAAAACGTTCTTGGTAATCTAGTACACTATCACTTTTATTTACTTCATATGGTGATGGTACAAAATCTCTCTCATTATCTATCCCTGTATTTTCTAATCCAAAGGCATGGGCTATGGAATCCGAATCAATGGTGATGTAACTTCCCAAAAGATAGGAATGAACACTTTCAGTTGCAGTACGAGATTCGTTTTGGACACAACCAACATTGGAGTAGAAAATACGAACAAGCTGGTTATAGACAACGGGTTTGACTTTAAAGGTGTTGTCGAATTTCCAAGCTTGGAGAGTCGGGAGATATTTAAAGTTCATTTTCTGCATAGCTTGAAGCGAAAGGAGATGCTCATCCATAATATTATAAGACTCGAAATGATTAACGTACCTAGAGTAGAGGTTTCTACGATTAGGTTCGTTAAAACACGAGTTTAGAATGGTCATTTCGGGAGGATAAGGAAGAAGATTTGGAAGAGGATTTGGAGGTGGGTTTGGTGGTTGATTGGAATGACTAGAAGATGACCTAGCTCGTTTAGACTGTTTAGAAAAATCAGAATAGTATACATGCAAATAAGCAACATATGTATGCAAACAATTAATCCCAAAACTCAATATGAGTCCTCAATTCAAGGTATCCTAAAACTAAATTATAATGGGAAAATTTTGAAAAACTATAGTATGTATAGATTTTGTGAAAAACAATATATATATATATATATATATATATATATATATATATAATCAAAACAAAAAGATTTTTTTTAATTTTCGAAATTTTAAAAAATTGATGATTTTGTAAGAAAAATTGTAGAATCTAGTGTAAAAGTATAAACTACGAAATGCCCATTCACTAATTTGATCTAAAACTAGTTCTAGATTCAAATATCAATAAAATAGTGTTAAATTATTTACCTTGAAACTTAGGATTGAGAAGGAATTTGATGTTCATTGCACAATTTTAATGATTTTAGCAGGTGTAGGAGTTGAAGAACGAAGAAATTCTGACTTGAAATCGTTGGATTGAAATAAAGAGGAATTTTAGGGTTTAAGAGAACGAGATAATGGCTAGAGTGTTGATTTTGGGGTTTTGGGCAAAATGTGATGTTTTAGGGTTAAATAGCCTAAACCCGATGAGTAGTATCAGTACTCCTCGAGGAGTATCGATACTTAAAGGCATTTTTTAGTAGTATCGATATCATGGTATCGATACCTATTCAAGTAGTATCGGTACTGTATGATCAGTATCGATACTATGCTAGTAATATCGATACAAGGCTAGTAGTATCGATACCAAACAAAAGTAGTATCGATACTATGTGAGTAGTCTTGATACCAAGTGCACAAAATGGTCAAAAATTTGCAATTAAACACATAGCATGCAACATTTAACAAGTCTAGTGGTATAGGCAATTCTAATTGAGAAAATTAATTATGTTAAATCAAACAAATCTATACTTAAGCATAATTTGAACATATTATTAATTTTCATAAAAAATCATAAACTCTCCCTAACTAATAGCATAGAAGACATTAAATATGTCATTTTTGCATGCATTTTCCTTTGTTCGCAAAGGTGCTAAAATTATTTAAACACAAAATCAAGGTAGGTTGGTTAGACCTAATTCTCTCCTAAGTGTCCACAATCTTTCTTTATCTAAAGGTTTTGTAAAACTATCCGCTAATTGGTGCAAAGTATCTACATAGTCTAGAAATATATCTTCTTTTAAGACACGATCTCTAATGAAATGATGTCTAATTTCAATGTAATTAGTTCTAGAGTGTTGGATGGGATTTTTAGTGAGACAAATAGCACTAGTATTGTCACACTTGATAGGAATGTTACCTACTTCAATTCCATAGTCCAAAAGTTGTTGTTTCATCCATAAAACTTATGCACAACAACTACCAGCTGAAATGTATATAACTTCAGTGGTAGATAATGCAAAACTATTTTGTTTCTTTGAAAACCAAGAAATTAACATGTTTCCTAGGAATTGACAAGTACCGGAGGTGCTTTTCCTATCTAATTTTCATCCTCCATAATATGCATTCGAGAAGGCATGCAAGCTAAAGCTAGAGTCACTAGAGTACCAAAGTCCTATACTAGGAGTGTTTTTAAGGTATCTAAAGATTCTTTTAACGACTTGTAAATGAGATTCCTTAGGACATGATTGAAATCTAGCACATAAGCAAACACTAAATATAATGTCTGGTCTACTTGCGGTTAGATAAAGAAAAGAGCCAATCATAAACCTATAAAGTTTAACATCTACACATTTACCTTCTTCATCTTTGTCAAGCTTTGTAGATGGGCTCATAGGAGTGGCTTGGGGTTTCACATTTTCCAATCCAAACTTCTTGAGCATATCTTTGACGTACTTTGCTTGATTGATGAAGATGCCATCTTTTCTTTGCTTGATTTGGAGCCCCAAGAAAAATGAAAGCTCCCCCATCAAGCTCATCTCAAATTCACCTTGCATTAACTTAGCAAATTCTTGGCAAAAAACATCATTAGTAGAACCAAAAATTATATCATCAACATAAATTTTAACTACTAATAAATCTTTACCTTTTTGTTTTATAAACAATGTAGTGTCAACCTTCCTGTCGTAACCGGTTTTCGCCCAAGCACGAAATTTTTACTTGGCGGGAAAAGTGATGTGTGAATAAATTGTTTTTTTAAAATGTTTTGGGCGTCGCCATCGGCCTTTTGGATCAGGTAGGTCGAATACCTAAAAATTATCTTTTAAAAGAGTTTTTAAGAAAACATCAGTTAAAAAATAAACTGGTATGCATTTTAACCAAAAATCCATTCTTTTTAATAATAAAAAGGGATTCGTGGTCGATTACGTTTGGGGAATGATTAGTACCCCCACAACGCCCAAAATTGGTACTTATTAATTATAAATTGTCTCTATTATTAAAAATTTAAATATTCAAAGATGTATTTAATTTATAATCCTGTTATTTCAAAATAATTTTATTTTTATAAATAAGATATTTATTTAGAAATACCAGAAAAAGACTTCTAGGTGTTTTAAGACATATCTTTTCTTAGTATTAATAAATAAAAAAATATTAATAAAACATTTATCTAAAAATAAAAAATAGATTAATATATATAATTTATAAAAGTAAAATATTTATATATTTAAAAATATCAGAAAATGGACATTCAGTTGCTTTAAGACTGTCATTTCTTAATATTGAAAAATAAATATATATTAAAATATTATTTTTTAAAAGTAATTTATAAAATTAAATTTATAAGTAGAATTTTAATAAAAAAAATTAAATAAATAAATGAATATGACTAAATAATAATAATAACAATAATGATTAAAGTAATAATTTAAACATATTGAAATTGAAATGATAATAATATAAATTAAATTGCTATTAAACATATAAATAAATAAAACAATGACAAAATAAAGAAAACTAAAATTATAGGATTAAAATATAAGATATATAAATTAATAGACAAAATGAAAATTATAAAAAAAACAGTGAAAAATATATAAAATATAAAACCTAAAGATCCTAATTTGAATTATTAAAAGAGATATGTACTAACAGTGTAATTTAGCCTCAATATTAATTATCCGGGTTAAAATAAATTTTATTAAAATTACTAGGGACTAAATAAAGTATTTACCATAAATATGTAAGTATAATAATAATGACTAAATTATAAATTAAATAAAACTATAAAGCCGAATTGAAATAATTAGAAGTTGATTTTAGTGACTGAAATAGAAAGTTACAAAACTAGGATGGCTACATGCGTGATTCTTCCCAGATGGAAATTACACAGAAGTCCCTCCCCAAAACGACGTAGTTTTGAGGAGGGTATAAATAGACCTTAAATTCCCAAAATTCCTCATTTCTTCATTTTGCAGAGAGAGAAGCTCT